CATTTACTAATATATAAAAATTATATAAAAAATTATAATTATATCATTACCTCTTTTATATGGGCGATAATATAAGGACAATCTTTTTGTATCATTTTTTTTATACAACTTTCATATGTCATTAAATGAATAAATGCATTTAATATCACGTGTCTCAAATGAATGAAAAGAGTCAATCATGTAAATCACACATAAGGTTGTACTAAAATGTAATAAAAAAGTTGTCCTAAAATGTAGTACAAAAAAATTGTTTCTAAATCAATTTCACATTTAGCCTTAAATCAAGGAAGCGGGAATTTTTCCTTCCATTTTTTAGGACAGTTGTTAGTTTACATGGCACCACACAATAGCTTACATGGTACCACGCAATTAGAATTGTGAAGCCCTGTAAATGTGGTTAACGGTGGTTAACGGAGTTGTGTAGAGGTAGATGAGAACAAAATGATTTTGAAAGTTAATAGATGAGTTTGAAAGAAAATAAAGTATCTAGATTAAAATGAAAAAAGAGTAATAGTTAATAGATGATTTATTAAATTAAACCCCAAATTAAAGTAGAAAACCATACACTTAGCAAAATTGTTTAGTCATAAGTGAATTATGTCAAAAACAATTATTTTTTAAAACACTTGGAACAAATTCTAAACCAAAATGAAAGTGAATTTTCTGAAAAGAATTCTAAAGGAAATTTTGCCGTCATGTTTCCTTAGTGGAAAAAAGGAACATCACATAAAACAATGCAAATTTAAAATGTAAGTAAAGCATTAATATGGCTCCAACGGTGGATGGCAAACATGGCTAAGAATGGATATCAAATGTTGATATCTAAAGTGGTTATATAGAATATTGTTCTAGAATGTTAGAATAAATTGAAAAAAACAAGAACTAGAAAGATAAACAAAGACAATTTAAAAAAGTAACAATAGATTGAAGGTCTCACTTGTTTCATCAAGAATTGGCCTATTTATAAATGAAAGGGAAGTGTAACTACCAAGTCAATCAACTTTTCTGCTTTTGATCCAAGGCAAATAAAGCAATTTGAATGCTGGCCGTTTATAATTTGAACGGTTGGTTACAATTATTTCATACATTAACAAATAATAAAAGGTGTAACAACCATATTTCATAACATCATCATCATTATCATCATTATTATTATTATTGCTATTATTATTATTATTAACTTTTTTTTAAACTAAAAAGTTATTTTAAACTCAAAGTCATAAGTAATCTTGTAATATACAGCTGCGCTGAATGTCATTTCGTAAGGATTTCCTTTTAAGCTCAATCCTTGGGAAATTATATGATGCAATAAATAAAAGAACACTAGCATTTTTCTGAAAATATGAAAAAGGAACCAAGGTAAAACAAAGCACGTTAGGGTTTTGGTGGTTTCAGCAATGGATGACTGCTGGGAGCCTGGCACCTTGGAATGAGGATCCGTATTCATGTAAATGGACCGGGTGAAGACACAGAATACAAAATTACAAATCTTAGGTTGATTTATTTTGGGCTTATTGTTCGGCTCAAAATGAGGCCCTACCGAGCTTGATCTTGGGCATATGTATCTACTATTCAGCTCATCGAAAAGAACATCATATTTCAAAAGACTTGGCTTTGGAGCAGGTGGTAAGAAATGTAAATTATATGTAGTAACATAACAAACTTATAATTATTACATTTTATTAAACAAATTAATGCATATAATAGTAGAGATATGCATCTAATTGAAAAAAATATTATAAAAAAATATTTAAATAAAAAAATTAATTATAAAATGATGGTAAACTTAAATCTTCCGTGCAATTTTTAGTATAATTGCCAATACCCATTTGAATTTGTTAAATTTTAAGTTATTTTCCCTTCAAGTATAATTATGTAACTTTAAGCCATGTCACGCAACACCTTAGCTTGTTTTTCAGCTTCGCATGCTATCTTGTCAGATTGTGCAGCTTGTAGATCCACACCATAACTTAAATGATAGTAAATAATAAAATAAAACAAAATATCAATTTAAATTACTAAACATGACATTCAACCATTATACTTCCTATTATGTCCTTCAATCTATAATAAATTTACAAAATGTGCCATCCTTCAAATCTCCATAACTTTCATTCCTTAAATAGCAACCACAATGCTTGCAAGATAATCATAAAGCCTGTCTGCTATATCAAAAGTCTACAAGAAATAAATACACTAGGAGGTTTATGAACATATATACGGCTGATGGGACTATAAAAACATATCGAGAAAGGGTTGAAATATTATAATATGGTATAAGTTAGCAAGCTACAGAGAGCTTGGTTCATCCTAATGTAGTAGATACAATAACTTACATCAGAAATTACTAAGGAATGCCTTGCTCACTAATCCTCGCAAGATGATCATAAAGCCTGTCTGCTATATCAAAAGTCTACAGGAAGGATAGAAAAAACAAATTACACAGTCCGATACAAATACTGCATTTGAAGCTATTCCTCCATAGATAAAAAGCTTATGAGTAAGGGGAAATAGAGACCCTTTGAGCTTAATTTCTGAAGCAAACTACATAAAGAATATTCAAATGTGCATCAAGTATGCTTGTCATTTGTTCTACACAACACAACCAATCTCTGTATTAAAAGAATAAGCATGTCAAATAAGTCTAGACATTTTAGTTTGCTGAGGGATCTAATCTCCAGAATATTTAATATTGGGTCTGCTAAAGACTTTCTAAACTTCTTAGAATGAATTTTCATGATTAACTTATTTTCCCAAGTATGATGGTTTGTAAGTGTTTATGTACTTTAGATTGGAAAGGATTGTATTGCAGATGTCTTTCGCTTGATGCATAGAAAATTTTCGAAGCCATGCTTAATCCATTCCAAACGTCAATTTCACTGAATACATAGTCAACAAATTGGTCAACTATGAACATATCCAGATGTAATAATAAATTAATGGATGCAAAAAAAATTTTTAATTATTGCACCCACATTGAACTCAAGAAAAGAAGTTCTTCAAGAACTAACCGTAATATACCAAGACAATTTTGGGACAGAAGGTTTAATGTTTAAATTTCAACAAAAAGAAATAAAAGACTAAAACTTCAAATTCTTCTAGCTTTTACCCAGTTTATAACAAAAATGAGTTAAAATGGTGTTATTGAAAGTTCAAATGATAAGAAAAAAAATAAATAAATAAATAAAGAATTGCTTTCTCCAGAAAAATGATTTTCCCCATTCTGATCCATGCATGCGTCTAAAGAGGGAGGGAGGAAGGGACAGGTAGAGGGTCCATTGGTGTCTATTATTTAAGGAAATAATGAAAGGAAATCCATTTTGTAGTTTATTTCTGTATATGACAGAATACTGGATGATACAAATTACCAAGAATGAACCAAACTTAACCATCATATTTAATTATGGTTGTAATTAAGAACATGCACAACTTACTGGTTTATCAGCAAAAAGTTCATGACAGATGCATACCTCTATCCACTCAGCACAAAAATCACAAAATGGGGGACGATAAAGCTTTACATGTCCTTGCAAGGTACAAATAGCCAGTAAGCACCTGCAGGAAGTTACATTATAAGTGAAATTAAATTAGATAAGATGATAAAATCATTAATAACAAAAAGAAGCAAAAGAACAACAAAAATCTGATGACATGTTTAAGGTAATTAGAAGTTCCTACCCTGAGTTAGGAGCCATTTCAATAGGTAACCACGAAATTGATCGAACACAAGGAAGGGGGCCCTTACTCAAACAAGTGGACAGCAGAGGTCCCGATAATAAATCTAAAATTTTTTAGGTAAAGATGAAAGTCAAGCTCAAGAGTGGATCCTTTGCATCTTAAGACACACACACATGGAAAGAATTCAAAAGAATGGATATTACTAGCAATTTAACCATATTATGGTCACACTTTCAACAAGTAATAAAATAAAAACATCAACTGAATCACAATCTCGTCACAGAAACTTGCAAATAGATGCAATTGGGATCATTCATGAAAACGTATACACATACCTTCTTCTTTGACGACCCCAATGGAACAAGGTTCACTTTTATGAACAATTATCAGTCCTCGAGGTCTGAGAAGCAATGCTGCATTCTGATTAAAAAGACAGTTCAACTGAAAATCTAACCATACTGGTCACTAAAAACATAAACTTTTGAAGATGACTGTGCTCAAATAACTACATTCGTCAAGACTTAAGAATTAAAACTAATTTGAGGAAAAATAAACAAATTTGTTTACCAGAATGGTGACGACGTGACCGGAAGCAACGGCGGCAATCAGGTTCTCGTCGGACCAGGCGATGGAATGGGGATGGGACCGTGAAGCTACCAGAGTCGCTGCCTGGAAACGCGACGCCATTGGAGCTCCTGCTAACGCTATCTATGTTCTTCCTCCTCGCGCAAAGCACCAAAATTTCCCCTTTTCTTCCCCCGCCATGAACGGAAAACAAAAATGGGTGAAGTTTTGGGGAGAGCAATCTGAGCATTTTTGTGGCATCAGAGGAGAGTGGAAGGGTCTTGGATGGAAAATTGAAGAAACCTTGAAGGAAGAGAGATCCTGGGACCAAATCTAAGGAATATCTGATTTCGAACCAAAACCCTACTTCGAATTCCCCCAGCGTCGGAAGGTAAAATGATTACATTTTATCAAGTAAGGTATGCATTGACAACTACTTAACTAGTTTACTTGTCAGCAAAAGTTTCTGAATATAAATCACATGTTATGCGTTCGGAGTGACATAAAAGATAGAAGTTGCTGAATATAAATCACATGTTATGCGTTTGGAGTGATATAAAAAATAAAAAATGATTATTTTTTATTATATAATTAATTAAAAAAATAAAAAAACTAGAGATTAATAGCCTGCCCGATTGCTTTACCAGACATAAAAACACGTATTCTTCTCTCAAGCCCGATTGCTTTAC